TCGATCCAACTCAGAATAAAAAAAAAATCACGGTAAACCCTCGGACAATCACGCAACGACCGTCGTCGATCGGAGTACGCATCGATGATTCAACAATCGCGACTGATAGGACAACCTTTTCCCCCTTGTCCCCCTATCTTTGTCCTTATCTCTCCTCTGGCCTCCTTGTCTTTTTTAAGTATTTTATTTTTTACCTCTAGACCCTATTTGCCAATGCCCCATCATAAATGTCGCTTAAATGTTTGTTATAATTATTATTATTATTATTATTACTATTATTATTATTATTATTTTTTACTTGTATAACTCTTGGTATTATTTTATCACACGTGTTGTATAATACAGAATTTCATTGCGCTTTATAAACCTATCGGTGTACAGCGATTATTTTACCCGGTTGTCTGATCCTCGCGCACGATTCGGATCGATTTCTGATTCAGACTGCGATCATGTTGCAGGTAAGTTTTCTTTCATAATTGAACGTCACGTTGAGTCAAAGCTTTGTTCGGTTTCTATTTAATGAGACACGGATGAGAGTCTTTGATACAGAAAACTATGATTAACGCTTTATACTTTTTTTTTTAAAGATACTGATATCAATTTTGAAGCGATTCATATCTTTGTTAAACGCGATACTGACATTAATTGTAAACCGATTTCAAATGAAAACGAGCTTTGAAGAGTACGCGAGGATTAATTAATTGTACTCGGTGATTTACTGCAACCGATCTTCGTAACGGGAGCAATTGAAAGATATGATTTCAGATAAGAATAATTTTATTCTCGGCGAACGCCGTGATTAAAACCAGTGACGTCCGCAAGATGGCGGATCGGTCGCTGGTGTCCGCCATTTGCTCTGACACGCTCGCCTCGGCTGTTCGATTTTTCTTTATTCTTTTAGTCCATTAGTACCGATTAACCATCAAGTACCATAGAACAATGAACGGTGTATTAACATTCCAATATCAGTCTCCGAAAGTGGTCTGTTCAACGCAGTGCCGGGCATTCAGCTGATCGCTGCTGGCTCACCCGCTAGTAACAAAACCCTAGTGACTTTTTCACATACTCTTCGTTCTAGACATTGGCAGCATCGTCTACGACCGCCACGATTCGAACTTACACTAAACAAAACTCTTTTCAGCGGTCAATCCTTCAAAAACTGGTAAGTACTTCTTCTTCGGACTTACATCGAATAAAATTAGTACAACTCCGTACGATCTGATGAAACATTTTAGATGGAGATCTGCGTGGATTCCCTAGAATCGGCAAGAAACGCGATCGAAGGGGGAGCGAAGCGCCTCGAAGTCTGCTCCGCTCTATCGGAAGGTGGATTAACGCCCAGTCCTGGCTTAATTAAGAAGATCAACAGCTTCTCGCCTGTACCGATCTTCGCGATGCTCCGATTGCGTCCTGGGAACTTCGTGTACACTCAAGAAGACATGGACGTGATGCTGAATGATCTAGAGATCCTCAAAGATCACGGCGCCCAGGGTTTCGTGTTCGGAGCGCTGACTGCGACCGACGAAATCGACGTACCGTTTTGCAAAGAAGTCCTTCGCAGAGCTAATCCTCTGCCGGTCACTTTTCACAGAGCTTTCGACGAAGTCGCTGATCCTCTAAGCTCTCTGGAAACATTGATAGAACTCGGTTTTCGAATAGTACTGACTTCCGGTCAGCAAGACACTGCCGAAGAAGGTCTGTCGTTGATAGAGTGCCTGGTTCGTCAGGCTAGAGACAGAATCATCATAATGCCTGGCTCTGGAATCACGAAGAAGAATATTTTGAAGATAAAAATGGAGACTGGGGCGACAGAGTTCCACGCGTCTGCGAAGAAGAGGGTGGTTTCTCGTGGGAACAGAGTTCAAATTGGTGCTGACAAGAAGAGCTTCGTTTCCGTGACTGATAGGGACTTGGTACGGGAAATGGTTAAGATAATAACGAATTGATTGCACTGACGAATTGTTGGCATTTCCCAACGTTTAAATGCTTGAATTTCAACGAACTGCATTTGAATTTTAATGAACGTTCTGGAAACACAACAGTTTTTATAGTAAGAGATTACACGTTGCTTCTTCACGTATTTGTTCGTCAATCAAGTTTACTGAATTCTTGTTTTTTTCACCTCGCGCTGAACTAAAATTGTCATCCGAGTAATACAGAAAGAATCCGTCGAGCGCATTTATTACATAGTTTGTAACACTCGCCAACAATTGCGTCGGAAGAATGAACAAGGTAATTAATTGATCGATCGCCCTTGACCGATGATCGGTAGTTTCTTTCTACGTCCAATAACAATTTCGTCAGCGGATCCATCGGAGAGAGGCGGAAAACGAGAAATCATGCGTCCAGCTGATGTTACCTAAGAATCCACGAGTGATTTCATGGTATCAACCGGTGTCAACCCTTTTTTCTCTTAAAAATGGAAATCGCTCGCGGTGAACGCGGTCGTAAACATCACGTGGCGCTCCCGTATTCTATCGTCGTCTCTTTTTGCCTGATTCACCGGTTGCTTTTTTCTACGGCAGAATTATACACACGTTATACATTTGAAATCGCCCAGGACTTGACCGATGATTCACCCGTCCGTTTATAACTTTTCAATTTTTCCTCGGAAATTCTCGCGAATCACTGTCCACCCGTCGGTAGATTTTTTGTAAACGAAATACCAGTGCAACGCGAGCACTCGTCGTTTATTGTTCTCCACGAACGAAAACAAAGACGACTGAGTAATGTTCGATCGAAGCGAAACTAGAGAATTCTCAGCTTTCGACGAGCGCGAAGAAAAATGCTCGAAATTTCGTAATTGGTACGGAACCAATTACTCTTGAAACGTTCCCCCGGCGATTGCGCGGCGAGGTTTAAAAGAACCGAGGAAAGCGGCAATTAGAGAACAGAAAAAAGTCTTAAGAGATCGCGAACGAAATCGTTGAAATACGGGACAGGTGAAATTGGCGAGTTATCTTCGATCGGCGAACAGGAAAACGGGAACAAGGAAAATCGTTTTAATTATGCGTTTCGTTGCGCGATTAAAAAAAAAGAACCCTGATTAACTGGAACTGGAATTTTTCCCTGTCCACGAGAGTGGCTGGCGTTGTTGCGGCGAAACAAAGTGCACACGCATCGAACGAGGCCCAGCCAGTATTATCGCTCGCGTTCGAATCGCGGTGGCTTCGCGGCGCGCGCACTTAAATGGATTCCCCGTTGCGTGCTAGAAATTATGCATGAGAGGAGATTGCCTATTCCGCGTCGCGGGGAGCGAGAGACAATCATTCGATGACTCAGAACCGATGGAATTAACCCCGAGCCCTTGACGGGTCAAAAATTGACGTGTCAACTAGCGGATCGGCTTCTATTCAAATCAAACTACAACGTGCATTGCCGGTACATATAATTTTTTGCAATTCCTTTGCATTGGAGCAAACTTTATCTTCGTACAGATATTCAAATTTTCCATTTTCCTCTCAACCCTGAAGAGTCTTGTTCAAGGCAGTTTTTATTAAACGTTTCAATAAAAAGGCGTCGAATTTAAATGTATAATAAAAAGGTGGTAAAACCTACCATAATGAACTCCTTGTAAAAATAGAATGCGTCCACTTAAAATCCAAAATATACGAATTAAACATTTGGATATAAGTGTTTCTCTAAATTAACACAATTATTCCTATTAACCCCTTACCTTGCGATTTCATTTCGCTGCATTTGTTCGAACTGTTTATCGTTAATAATGCACTGAAAGAAAACATTCCCTGCTCTTCCTATGTCCAGATTTAGTATAAACGATACAAATTGTTAACAAGAACGATAATGTTTCATTTAAACTTAACACCACTCAATGGCATTTTTTCAACTCAAAACAATTTATATTTGTTAAACCACATTAGAAATCCTCGCCTCGTGTCTGACACGACATTCTAAGGCAAGGGGTTAAAACCACTAAATAGACGATCACACCTTTATTTCCATGTATTTGTACCGTTCATCCAAAACTGTCAACGGGACAGCACGATATAACCTGTTTCACGAGGAACCTCAAAACCGGAAGTGACCAAGGGGAGTCCGCTTCCTCGCGGATCACCGATCAACGAACACGCGCGTGTCGCAACGGTTCCACGGATCAATTTCGAATTGCAAACGCTTGCGCAACCGACGGTGCACGCGGAAGATGACGGCACTGCGTCCGCGCACTTTCGATTCGCGACACGGTCGAGCGAGGAAAAGCGCGCGACGGGCTGGGCCCAACCCGGCCAGGCCCGAACCGATACGACCCGCGAATCGAAAGCTGCCTTAGAACTTACGCTGCGTCCCGGGAGCAAATCTTGCGTGAGTCACACGTAGCGTGCCACTCGGGGCCGATGTTTATTGCGTGTGTAATTTACTGGCAGTGGCGCCGACTGGCAGAAGGAAATATAAGGACCGTGAATGGTTTATTAAGAAGGATGTCTTGTTCTTGAAACTTATCCTTGTTTCAGTTTATAATGGATTTTCTAGCTTCTCTTGCTTAGAAACGGTACTTTATAATAGTTACGTTGAAGCTGAAGTCCCCATTCGATGAATTAATTTCATTAGCATTGATGATAATTGGATTGAAATGCCTTGTTCTTGAAGATCATCCTTGTTTCAGTTTATAATGGATCTTCTAGCTTTTCTTGCCTAGAAGCGGTATTTTATAATAGTTACGTTGAAGCTGAAGTCCCCATTCGATGAATTAATCTCATTAGCATTGATGATAATTGGATTGAAATGCCTTGTTCTTGAAGATCATCCTTGTTTCAGTTCATGATGGATTTTCTAGCCTTTCTTGCTTAGAAACCGTACTTTATAATAGTTACGTTGAAATTGTAATTGCCATTTGATGAACTAATTGCATTGACATTAATGATAATTGCATTGAAATGCCTCGTTCCTGAAGATCACCCTTGTTTCAGTTCATGATGGAGTTTCTAGCTTTTCTTGCTTAGAAACGGTACTTTATAATAGTCTCATTGAAGCTGAAGTTCCCATTTGATGAATCAATTGCATTAGCATTGATGACAATTAGATCGAAATGCCTTGTTCTCGAAACGTACCTTTACTTCAATCCACACTGGTTCCTTTTTTAGCTTGTTACCTACAAACGATACTTTATAGTAGGAGTTTGTTTGAAGTTCAAGTTCCAGTTTGATGAGTCAATTTGAATAAACTTTTTCTGTCGCGAGTTAGCGTTTGATAATGCGATCGATCCTCTTTTTGTAGAATATATAGGTACTTGTAGGAGGACAACAGCGCCGGCGCCCATGACTCGGAGTTGACCAGTGGAGAGTGTGCTCTCTACACCTGCGAGTGCGTCGGCCTAGAGCAGGGATTCTCAGTCTACTCTAATCATCGACCCCCTTTCGAGAACTGTTTTTAACAGCTCGATCCTCTCAGCGAATTAATTGCACGCCGCGGCAGGCTGCGGCGGCGTCGAGTGGCTTGTAGAGCAACAGGAAGTTACCTGTGATTTTTTCTTTCAATTAGCGCGTTGCATTGACACGCAACTTCGTTGTCATAACCGTTTAACCCCTTACGTATCGCGTGAGATAGAACGCGATTACATAAAGACCGATATCTCATGAATAAACTAGAATTAACCCGATTCGCTCGCCTTGATTATCTGGCACATGCATCGTGCCCTGAGTGCATTGATTTACTGAAATGGTTTTTCCTCATTTGCACCGATAGATCCAACGTTTTTGTCTTCGCATTTTAAAGATTCGCATCGATCATCGTGATACGTGTTTTCTTTCATGCTCCGCTCCCTACACTGACAACCCTCGTGGAACGCACAGGGCTGGAAAGGGGTGATTACCGCGCGTCAAGAGTCTCTAGACCACAAAAGCCTCACCCTTCAATTCAGCCACGTATGCAACGCTACCGAAAAGAGGAGTATACAAGTGTTCTGTTCCGACACCTATTGTCAAATGAATATACAATTAGTTTCAAAAATAAATACCTAAATATTCGAACAATATTACTAGACTTCCACCAATTCAAAACCATCGCAATTCCTCTCGTCCCCAAAAACATTACCGGAAGTAAAATAAAATTCACAATTCCACCTTACTCTAATCCTCCCAGCATCCTGTATAAATTGACTCATTGACCGTCACGATGATCAATGACCTTCGTAATTACAGTTTAAAAACAATTCTAATTTATATCACGTCAAATACATTCAGTAGATTAACCCTTTGCGGACGAAGAGTCTTTTAAATACATTAAACCTTCAGCAGATGAAGCTAAATAATCAATTGCTTAAATAATAGGAAAAACAGAAACTACGTGTCGATCTCTTACTGTTTCAGTAATTCGATCATTTGCGACTCGGTGCTAGAAACATGAAAATTTCACGTCGCCGAAATGTCGACATTCGTCAAAGGGTTAATAATTAATAATCCTTCGCATCTTTGCTACAAAGGAAGTCGTGATACACGAAACATCAATGTTCTTCATATCGGTTAACACGTTAATACCTAAATCGAGCCTCGCAGCGTGACACAATGGGATCAGCAAACAATGAAGTTCAAGTAACAATGAATCCTTCTGATAAGAAGGTACAGCGTTCCGTCGCATTGTGTCGAAAGTAGACCAAGGTATCCAAGTGACATAATTTATTTATGCTCCCCGAATAGGAGAATCGAATGTCCAGCCGTTGGGGTCGCTGGCGACCCGGCTGGGAACCTCTGGCCCCGAGTGTGTCGGCGGGCTGCCGGTGCGGTGTCTGCGCGTTATTGCTCAACCAGACTCGTCTCTCAGTGCGAGAAAGACGTTCATACGGTTCGGTCGTCCTGATCAGTGCACTCCGTCGCCTCGTCCTGTCATCTTCTCCGTGTACGACGAATCATCGCGCACGGTAATCATCATTTCTTTCCTACTCCCCCGTTCCGTGTGCGTGCATCTGTGCCGAGGTTACCTTCTGTCGGTCTCATTCGCGAATTCGGGACTCGCCGCTCCACAAAAACATGGAGACGATCCGGGCCGAATTTCGAGGATGAAATCGATCTCGGTCCGCTCGTCGCTGGAACATCGTGCTCGTGTGTCGGATAGTGTCACAGTGTCGGACAGCATCCTCTCAGGGACATCCTGTTGTGCGCGAGACCCGATTTCATTCATCCTGTGACGCACCGGGTTTCGCGCGTGTCACGGAAGATTCGTTGGAATTTTTCAGGTGAAATCGAGAGATTGCGGTCTTTACGATCTTCTCGCGAATCCTTGGGGACGTTTTTGGAATGGTGATTGAATATAGTCTGTTGCTCCTCCGTTATTCGATCATTTTCAGTTATCTTTCGCTTACTCTACCGTTGCTCGATTACTTTTCGATTATCCTTTAGCTATCTTCTTGTTAGATGAACACACGGTTGTTTCATTTCTCAGTTCTTTAACTGTTACTACTCCGAGTCCTCTTGCATTGTTCTCCTTTCCAAATTTCTCGATTCTCCAATTTTTCCACTTCTCCGATCCCGCTGCTCTCTAATTCTCCGTTTCACGGAATTCTTCGCATTTTCAACGATACGAGAACCTAGTAGAACTGAAAATGACCTGGACGCTGAATCTTTGCGATCTCGCGCGTGAATTATAACAGCGCCGACATCGCGCGGAACATTCGAATTCTTTGACAAAGAATTCATCGCTGCGAAACCGTGCTTTCCATTATTGTCAACGTGGTCGCGCAGTTTCCTCCTTAGCATGCCGGCGGGCTGGGCGTCCGCATAACAGATTTCGCGCACGTTGCGCGCGACTGCTCTTACGAAATCGAAGTGGCGGCCGAGGAAGTGTATCCAGGAAGCGACCGGCTGTCAAATTCGTCAAACGGCAGCTCGACGCCGTGATACAACCGAATATCGTTGCGTATCGGTGGCGTACTATCGTTGACCGACTTTCCGCTCGGCTCCTCGTAAGCTCTTACACGCTCGTACAGGGTGTCTCTAGACGTTTTGACCTAATTGTGCTGTTGTTACCAATTAGAACGATGCATGAGAATGAATAGAAATTGCGGTTATATAAAGGTTGTCACTGGTGCGACATCGAATAGACAGCGCTGAAGAAATCGTGTATTGAGGATTAATTGAACGTGGCTGTTACAAATTAGTTTCTTTGTAATATTACGCTGAAGATATAGACTAATTGAATGAGTTTCTTGCAATATTGCATTGAATAGTAACCGGACGTGATTCTTACGAGCTAACTTATGTAATTCAGTAAGAAATTTCATTGAAACGCAGTGAAGAAGTGAAGGGACATTTCGATTGTTCGGTGTCTTTGTTATGATGAATTTCTGCTTGGCCATTTTCCATTCTACACCAGTCTTCTGTTACTTCCAAGTGAAATTTAATTGACCTTCAGTTTATTTTAATGTGACAAAATATTCCAAGACACTCTGTAAGATCCGGTAGTAACATCCAAAGTCCGGTTTGAAGACGACAACTTCGAAGCACGTGTTGTCACAGTTCTCCATCAGTACCATTTAGAAAGTGATGGCCGAATATTAGGACACTGGAGCGGTCTCAGTGATCGTATTCGAGGTCGATCGGATTTCTTTAACCCTTTATACCGTGGATCGAATCGTTTTTATTATTCACTGTTGTCTTCCTTCCAATCATAAATATTTCTTGCAATTATTACATCGTAAACCAACGATGTAAAAATTAGATTAAATGACATTCAACTTCATAAGAGATCTAATTTGTACATGAACAACTGATATTTCCATAGTATGAGTGATGTATCAGTGAAAACGTACTTCAAAGTATCTTCAGAAG